AAAAAAAAACGAATGTCGTTGTTAAATGTTTTTATTTTGTTACTGTTATAATTGATTTGTTTATCCGAACAAATAACCAAAGAATAAAAAAATGTTGTGCTGTTGAATGCGAGACTAACTCGAGAATATTTAGATGACCACGGCTCATCAAACAGTGACCATATTCGTGGTTTGAACTGTTGCCATTTGGACAGATTATTGGAATAGTAATCATCCTCCCATCCAAAACGTTTCGCTATCTCTTCCTGCGTCGGTGGATCTTTGTCCAAGTCCAAGCTTTCAATTATGGCCAAAGTTTCCTGAGTGTCCCTTAACAATACCAAGTGTTATTGAAATATTTCAAAAAACTACGCCAACAGCAACGGCAACAACAGATCTGCTGTTCCTGCTTCTCCTTCAATAGTGACGAAAAGAGTGCTAAGTTCATTCTACTCTTCTTTTAATTTTGTTAGTAAACAGGTAAGAATTGAAGGAAAAAGTTTCAATGGAGAACTTTTATGTAATCTGTACGTCATTATACTGATTGTCATCACGTCAACCAAATAAAAAATGCCAAAAAACATTAAAATAAAATTTTCAAAAGTAAATCCACAAAATACTGAGAAGAAATGTACAGAGAAACGTTTCAAAAGTTTTGCAGTTGGTAGTTATCAATTAATCTCTATAAAAAATCAAAAAATGACAAAAAAGATGATTCAACTTCGCAAGTAACATTTTATATAGCATTCTAAAAATGAACTGAATCAATCTCTTTCTTAATTTTTTGACTTGCATTTTTACTTCTTTAATTTGACTTTTTATGGATGAAATTTAAACAGTTAAAAAGATGAGCAACTCTTTTCAATCGACGTCGGCTGTTTTTCCAAATAATTTTTCTCTGTTTCGTTTTCTTCTCATTACATCATTTAGGTCTTTTTGTATTGTCATCAGTTGAAAGTTTTTAAAGGTTCAAAAAAATTTATTTAAAAAATTTTTTAGCATTCATTTCTGGCATTTTTGACGGTCCGAAACATGTGACAGAATGTGGTATTTGTGCCCAAAATACGCGCTTGTGAGGGATGTATTTGTGCGTGCTTAGGTAATTGTTATTCTCCGACACTGATATCCTGAACCGCACTTTGATCAGATCTTCCGGTCAAACCTTTCAGCAGATTCTTTTTTTGTTATTTTAAGAAAATATCAATCAAGCAGCAAATCATAAAAATATCCAAGATTCACTGTGGTTTGTTTTCTCAGCACAAAAAAAAATACTTTGTCCTTGCAAACACACTGATAGTGGAAAAAATATGGCTGTAGAATTTGGTAAGCAGCAGAAGCGAACAATCGTTTAGCACACAAACGGAACGACTTTTAAGCTATTAAACTTAAAAAGTAAGACTGATCGTCCCCTTTTTTTTATTATTAATACAAAACACGTACATTTCTACTTATCACTCTTTCTTCAACTGCTTACTTCTTAAATTTCTTATAATTGTAGCAATTAAAAATAGTCTATTGCTTCAGAAACAGTAGATTTGTCAATATCTTTTGTCGCTAAAAAAAGGTGGTTCGCAGGCAAAGTATTTATAATAAGATGTGATTAAGACTTATTTACAGTTTCTTTGTGCATATTTTTTATCATCATTCCTTTCGGTGAGCACCTTGGCAGAAAAAAAAAAATTTTGTTTTGTTTTATTAAAACTAGCCTATGTTGAGTGTATGTCATCCAGCAGCAAGGTTCAACCTGATTTGCATCCAAACCCCAAAACTCTAATTCTTCCTCGAATAATGGCCCACAGACATTAGTTGGGTAATGCAATTTACCTGCAAAAAAAAACAAGCAACGAAAAATGAAAAAAAAAAAACCAAGAAATATGTATCAGAAAAAAAAAGCATTAGTTAATGGAAAATCCTAAACGTTTTATTACAGCAATAACAAACAATCTTTTTTTCCGGGCAGATACAAGGCCGGCAAAGAAAAATACCAAAAACTCCTCTCATTATTTCAATTTTTTTCTTCATTATCCCTCTTTCCAGCTCCTTCTTTTCTCAAACTTCTGCCTTCCCCTCCCCCTACCACTCTTCCCTTCTCAATAGAATATCACTGAAGTAATTCAATTTAGAAATTTGTTTGACAGAAAAATCAATTAATATTCCGATAGTTTTGACAAAATCAATTTCTTTACTTCTTTATGTTTTTGCAGGAGTTTTAAGCCACTTTTTTTGTTCCTGTTACATATTTAAAAGAAAGCAAATATATCTTTAGTAATAACTATTAAATATGCATTGAAAAATCAAAAAAATACAAAGGATCAGTAGCTGATTGCATTAATGATTTTTACCTGTTCTGTAATAATTAAGAATCATCGAAAAAACACCGGGATGCCGATCAAAAAAGTATTCATTAAGTACTGGATCATAGTTCGCTAAATTTGGTGTTAGCCTGAAACCACTTCTCTAAACTGTTGTTACTGATTTAAATGCTTAATGGAATATCTCATCAGAATGGCCGTCGAAAATGGATGACCACAAATCACGGTCATTAACTTTAGAGCAAAAAATTTTATAATATAAAATAAGAATGAAAGAATTGCCTAACGAGGAAAAAAAATTAATGGAATAGGAAACCTTTCGCTCTTAGTAAAACAAGTATACAATTAAACAAGAGTTATCGTCAAACATCCGTACAGTGGAAAGAGTTACCTTGAAAGTCGTGTGGCCGGAATTTTTTTAAGGACATGAGCATAGGTTTCGTGCCTAACACCGCCAACATTCAGTATAATCCGATGGTCGTTGTCCATCCAAGACTAAATCATCAAAAAAACTCTTCAACCTTCAACACTGTTTCCATATTTCAGTCACTGCTTCAAATACCTGTTATTTAGTTTCTTTAACGTTTCCTTTGAACTCCAAAATCAACATTTTCGACAGCCTTCAATCTAATTTTCTAAACAACTGTAAGTTGTAAGAGACTGAACGCTTAGTGAGGAAACAACTCTTCAGCACATTATTGCCATTCCAATACGATGTTCACTGTGTTAAATATATAAACAAAAAAAGAACACGTAAGGAAAAAAAAATGTAAAACATTTATTATTTCTCAACTGCTAAAAAGTTTATATTTCCCAAAAAATTTGCCGTTCTTGAGAGTCCAATTTTTTTCTGTTTTAACGTAATAAACGTTAAAATTTAGTTTGCTTACTTAGCATCACCGTTTTCGAACGTACAATTACTGTTAAAATAAGTACACTAGTTTCATTATTCAGTTTTTTTTTCAAAAATAGCTAGAAAGCAAGGAATTGAAAAGTCTGTGATTTGCACTGCCATTGCAACAAATTTAATTATTATTTTTTCTGACAAAAATAATGTGGCTTGACAATTAAAGCCCCCCAAAGCTGGAATTAAGCATTTTTGTACAGCAATTTTGCTAACAACACTCATCGATACAGAGCGCTTAATAAAATCACATAAAAAACTTAAACAAAGTAACAACTGTTGGGAAGGGCACAGAAGTTGTTTAGGGATTTACGCTTTATGTAATGTCACAAAATTTCTCCTCTTTTCCACCGTCCAAAAAACACTTCTGACAAACTTGTAATTCACACAAAATATAGCTTTTCTCAAACTAAAAATTTCTGATCGTGTTGAATAAACTAGACAACCCAGCATTTCGCAACTGAGTGATCATAATTAAGTAAAGTGATAAGAGCAACAATAAAAAATTAAAGACCAAAGTTTGAAATACTTTATTTTTTTTATATTTGTAGCAGAATGCTATTACAAACTTAGGTTAAACCAGTAGAGTTCCGACAATGATGGCAAAACGAATCTTTTATCATTAGATCAGAATCTTTTCCTATATCTTGGTAAAGCGTTGTTTTCTGAATAAAATCAACAAAAAATAGTTCCATCAGATTACCTTTCTGTGCTGTAATAAGTAGCTTTCTGTCATTTGTCAATTAACTATCAGCAATAAATACCGTATTGAAATTGTAAAACAGCTCTTCAAAGTTAAACTGATCGTCGAGCATTCCTCTAACACACAAACTAACGGTTTTAAGCATAATCCTCAATAAAAACCAAAACAAAATAGCCATGTAAATTAGAAAGAAAAATATAGAATTAAAATTAAATATAAATAATTTAAAATTAAAGTCAATTGTTATACTGTGACTATTTGTGGCATTTTTAAACATAACAAGAGTCAAATTCTTCCAACCGTTCGTTCCCAAAAGCGTATTTGTCTGGGCAGGAAACAGCAAAAAAACACGGGTAAAATAATTCTTTCTAATGTTTCTGATGCTAATGTCAATAGCAGCTTTTTTAACCAAAAAATTGTTAATTTTATATAACAGACAAAATTAATAAGAAAAACTAACTAACTAACTTGAAAGTCGAAAGAAAAAACAATTTACTTTTACACCTTTATATAGAAATATGAAGGTATTTTCTTGAAGGTAAACTATAATACATAAATAATAGATAAACTGACAGATAGATAGACAGATACATAGAAAGATAGCCAGATAGATAAGCAAATAGACGAATAAATAAGCGAATAAATGAAAGTTGAAAAAAAAAAATACACGAGCTGCAAATAACGATGTTTATTTTGATCAAAAAAGGTTTAGCCCCCTTTTGCCCTAAAACAACAACTGCTTAGAGTATTCATCGAGCTTTTCACTAGCTTTTAATTGCACCCTACATAATAAAGTTAAGACTACTAGAGCTTTTGTGGCCAGCATAATTCTTGCAGTTAAAATTGAAGCATATACATACATATGTATGACTATCTGTGTGCACGTCTGTGTCTGTGTCTGTGTCTGTCTGTGAACGCTTTTCCTGTGCTATGTTTAAACATTTACATTCGCTTTTTCTTATTGCTGTTATTCTTTTTTTGAACAGAAGAAGGAACAGCAGTTTTTTTGCCAACTAAAAATTAGTATTTCGTTGATTTGCCAGTGAACCAACTGACTATGAATCCTAAAATGATCTTTAAATAACTCTTCTTAATTTTTCTTCCTCGTATACATCATTATAATAGAATTCAGTATTTCAATCAAATTGATAATTACCATTAGTAGTCAAACAGTACTTTTGAACTTCAACTAAGTATTATGGCAAAAAAAGCCTGTAACTGAAAAACTCTTTTTTTCTTCTTCTTCTTTCATAGAAGAAGGCGAAGCAAGATGGGCGAAGAAAATTAAAAAAAGTAAGAAAGAAAAAAGAAAAGAGAAGAATAATGATAAAAAAAAGTGAATCAATCCAATAAAAATTTTTTATGTACTCAGAAGCAAAACCATGTAATAAGAATAAAAACGAGAAGGAAAGAAAAAGGTTTAACATTTGCATTCCCATTTTCTAGTACAGAAAACTCTTTTAAAAATAGAAGAACATTACAATGATGATGCGGATGCTTAAAAAGATGAAGAAGATACAAAGTTGAGTAATTATCTAAATGACTGTTATAAAATTTCTACAGCTGCCATTTGATAAAACACCATTTTGGCTATCGATGGGTACCGTTGAACAAAGTATAACAGATAGATTTGTGCGGAGAAACAATGGCGTAACAGCTACAGAGAAGCAATGAATAAGTTATGGTACAGATGCGTACAGTAACTTAACCGCTCACCTGTTGTATGCCCAACAAAACTAAATCACACCTTTTACACTCAAATTTGAATAAATACATAATAAATTGACCAAATCAATACAATTAATTTGATTACAAAGTTTTGGCTTAAGTTAGCACGTTCTTTAAAAAGTATGACAACTGACTGTTCGCCAGTCCTTAATTATACATTTTCGTTTGGGTAAAAAAACTATTTTTTTTCTTTCTTTTTTTCATTTCCGAACAGATTTCTCAAAAAATCAAAATATTTCAGTAAATTTTCTTAAGAAACAGTTAAACAAGTGACATTTTCTTGAAAAAAAATTCAGCTATAGTAATTCACTTTGGATTGACCTAAGTGATCAGTTAGAAGCCTATGACAGGCAGAACATCTTGCTGACTTTGACGTTTTGAAGAGCCCGACTAATTGTTGGCAAAACTCACTTCATAACTGACTTTCTAATCACTGACAATCTTGTACCTTTCTTCTGCTTTAATTCTTCACAAATAACCGAGTACATTCAAATAGATGTACTTTCTTAATATTTCGTATAAAAAAGTTTGAGGAACTGAAAAAAAGCGCAAATCATTTTTGTTACTTTTAAAACGCAGTCCTTTCTCTGCAACTTCACTTATCGATGACGCTTCAAAAGGCAAACCAAAAGAAAAAAAGTGGTGCACCTTCTCTCCCCATTGCTTCTGTTTTTTTCTTCAGCTAAAAAAATATTGGCTAAATTTACAGATGAAAATAAACAAAATATGTGTATTTGGTTAAGCGAGCGAATTGTAACTCTCACGAGGTTGCTGCAGTTGCTGTTGCTGTCGTAATAATTGTTATTAGGTGATAGATACATACCACTAAAAGGGACGAACAAACGAGAAACTATGTTTTCTGAAGTACGCAAGATCAAATAAACCAAACAATAATAAGAAGAAGAAAGATGGAATAAGTAGTCAAAAAGAATAGAGAGAAAGAAAACAGTAATAAGTAAAGCATAAGCTTTTGAACAGCATCACTCAAACTGCATTTGTATTGCCTAAACAAAAACTGACCAAATGACTGACCGACTGAGGCCTAACTAACTGATGCTACTGAAAACACAAAAGAAGATCATTAAACTCTTCAGTTAGCTACCAATTACTTGTTTCGGGTATCATATTTTTTAAAAGGTTTTCAAAGGTTTTTTTAATGCAAAAAAACGCTTTTTTTCCGCAGCCAATTATGATAACAACAACAACAGCAATCAAAAACAGAAACAGAGTAAGCAACAGTTTTCTAAATCTATTAATCAAAATAAAAATTTCAAAGTTTGTGCAAAAACAAGCAGACAAAAAAAAATGATTAAACAAACACAGAAACTTTGCTTACTAAATACCCATTTTAATTGGCAAAAACCACTGCTTTTTTAAGATATGTTTGAAAAGATGCAAAGAAGGAAGAAAAATAAAACATTCATTTTAGTGACAAAAATTTGTATATTAGAAAAACATTTGAAAAAGACTTTCGAAATTGATAAATACAAAATCCAAGCTCTTCATTGATATCATTTATTTAGAGTAACACCTGTCTTTCCAACATTGTCAACTCTACTTCATAAATTAACTAGTGATTAATTAAGGAACAAATAATTTTCTTTTTTTAAGAGTTTCTGCAAAACTTTTTTTTGCTTAAGTTGAAAAAAAAAAAAGGAAATAAAATAAAATAAAATACTCGTGCTTGAAGAGGACTATCGCTGCAATCCATTAATGTTGTTAACTAGTAGCAAGCTTAAAATTACATTTAACTAAAGTTAAGAGTAACAAAAAGTTTGAATGTCTATAAAATTGAATACCCAGAAATTGAAACCATCTACAGCACTACTGCTAAAGTTCATTAAATCAGCTGTGTATTTGCCGTTGATCACTGATTCACATAGGAACAATCAAAAACAGGCTGCAGTGATCTTTGAATATGATGGAACAGCGCATAATTGTTGTGTCTACAGCAGTTGTCTGAGACTGCATCTCTTTTACTACTACGTTAACCTTCATCTAATCTCTAGCTGCAAAACCAGTCAAAGCTTGTATTGAGTAATTCTGTTGTCACAATCATCGATAATCTGCCTTTTTCCGCATGACTCAATAAAGTACAATATTCAGTAATGGTAGAGAAGTTGTTTGAAATGGCTACAGCCTCAGGTTCAATTAACCTTGGAGGAGAGGGCTTCTAGAGATAGTCAGCTCAGAGGTACAAACTA